AAATGGTGTCTCCTTCCACATAACAGCAGGTGATTTTATTGCAGTATTTAGAATAGGCAGAATTCTGGCATACCACATTTCAAGCTCCGAGATATATTACTTGATACTACTAGGAACAAATTCCCACTGTATTTGGCAGGAGATCCCTCTCCTTCTTGGTTGATATGTATTTATACAGTGTGTATACAAAAATGAATGTTATAGTACAAACCATTCAAAACGAACTACGCCAAACCAAGTTCTAAATATACATTGATGTCCCTGAAGTAAGAAAACTTACTAGTTTTTTCCAGTGGATGGGGGTAGCAACTGGGTTTGGGAGGCAACAAAGAAGCTAATGGAAAGTCACCCTCAGAGTGGGAAGCTTTAGAGTTTGTCATATGCACTCAAGAAGTAGAATCCTTTTTTCCCCCCACCCAATCTTGACCCACCAGAGATTTTCTGTTTGAGCAAAACTGAGCTGGCTAACCACTTACAACTTGGAAAGCTGTAATCTTCCCCACACGACCAGTCTCCACCCAACAACTGTACAAGTTTCTGAGGCATCCATAAGTAGACACATACACGTAACCCTTAGGTATCTGTTTATGCTACCACAAAAAAATTAGACCAAGCTATAGCAACCATAACTTCTCGTAAGCACATACAAGAACCAAGAAAATAATTAAGTCCATGATAAATTATATGTTACTGTATCCTGCTCTAAATAGTCCCTCAGGCCAGTTTAATTACATTATTACTTCATTCTGAAGTACTAAAGCCTCTTTGCTTGCTAAAAGAGGCCAACAGATGAAGTCCCAAAATTGCATGCTTTTTCATTAGGAAATTTCAATTAAGATCCTTTTCTTCAAAGCAATCAGATGTTCAAATTATTTCTCACATTCTGATTGTTTCAAGCACAGTTCATTTAGGAATAGAAGCAGCTTCTTTCACTGAACAGTCAAGGTTTGGTTTTGGTATGATTTATTCTTAAATACGAGTATATTTGCACTGCCTTACAGTAAAAGCTGCATTCTTTTAAAATAAAGGTGACCAATAAATAAAAGCAGTTTGAATGCTATTCCACATCCACACACTCCTTTTACTACTGTAGTCCAAGTTATTAGTCCCTGATCAGACTGTTCTCTCACGTACAATGTAATACTGATTTACAAGATGAATATTCAACAAAACCCTTTTCTTTGATTACGTCATTAGGGACCTGTCACTTTTGGTGGTGGATGTCCATGAACTCTATTTCGAAGCTGTCTCCTTAATGTATTACAGTAAAGCATTATGAAGAACATCATATGCTCAACATAATCTTCAATTCGCACTTCAAGAGGCCTATTGATGGCTTTCCCACCTCCTTGTGTGTAAGCCAGCGGGCAGCACACTCCTGTTGGAAAGCCACACGTGCACACAGGGAACATCTGGTTCATGAAAAACAAACTGAAATCGCAGGGAAAGTGATCACGTCAGCTTTAACATCACTTTAGCTTAAATAATTTCTAGGTGACTTTAAAGCCCACATTTGCAAGATGTGTGGCTTTTCAAGAGGGTCTAGCAGACCAGCAGTAGGATCCTGAAAGACAGAATTTTTCCCCTTTCCTGCCCAGTCAGACCTCCCTCCCATTGCTTCAGCTGTTCTCTACTTCCAGCTTATTCTGCTGCAGTCCTTCACAAAAACCACTCACCTGAACTTTTTAGAAGCCTTTTTGCTGCCTCAAAGCAACAGATGCAACACTTCTGATTTCAAAACGCCACTTTCTGACTGGATCAATAGGATCTAGGGCTTTGGAAAAATCACATGCAACTAACTATTTAAAGACTTGAGTGCTAGCACTAACACTAAGATTTTATTCGACTTAAGAATACCCTCATCCATACTATATCTTCTGAAAAAAAGAGCTCACTAAAACTGTCTTAGACTTCCAAAATGCAAGGTCCCTATGTAATTAATCATTGGATTCTTTGAAAATGTGTATCATTTACTATATAAACTTTGCTTCCTACTTTCCCTCTTGGCCTTTAAAAACAATTTCATCTCATGAGATAACAAGAATCCTGAAAGATTCATAGAATAGTTAGGGTTGCAAAGGACCTTAAGATCATCCAGTTCCAACCCCCTGCCATTGTCACCCTGGACCATATCACCCAAGGCTCTGTCCAACTTGGCCTTGAACTCTCAGGGATAGAGCATTTACTGCTTCTCTGGGCAACCTGTTCCAGTGCCTCACCACCCTCACAGGAAAGAACTTCTTCCTTATATTTAACCTGAACTTCCCCTGTTCAGGTTTTAACCCATTACCCCTTATCCTATAATTACAGTCCCTAATGAAGAGTCGCTCTCCAGCATCCTTACAGGCCCCCTTCAGATACTGGAAGGCTGCTATGAGGTTTCAATGCAGCTTCGCTTCTCCAGGCTGAACAGCCCCAAGTTTCTCAGCCTGTCTTTATACAGGAGGTGCTCCAGTCCCCTGATCATCCTCATGGCCCTCCTCTGGACTTGTTCCAACAGTTTCATGTCCTTTTTATGTTGAGGACACCAGAACTGTACACAATACTCCAAGTGAGGTCTCACGAGAGCAGAGTAGAGGGGCAGGATCACCTCCTTCGACTTGCTATGGTCACGCTCTTTTTGATTCATGGCTGGTTTCTGGGCTGCAAGTGCACACTGCCGGCTCTTATTCAGTTTCTTATCAACCAAAACCACTATGCCCTGATTTTCCCATGGAAATGGTCTTTGAGGACCCTGCCACCATGCCCTAAGGCTACTCTGTCAGGGCTTTGTCACCATGACTGCTACACTAGCTCTAAACCTCTTCCCACTTCCTTAGGTGCAAGCACACTTGCAGGCATACCCCATGTCGAAATCCTTTTCTGACTAAGCTAAGTGAACAACATCTGGAAAGCAAATGGAAAGGGATTGTTAAACTCGCCCCCTCCCATCCAAATTACACAAGAAACCAAGTCAGGAAAATCCCACTGTATCTTTGTTTCTACTGTATAATGTCAGCATTCAAGTATTTAAATATTGATCTGAGACTATGTCTGCAGGGCAAGATGAAACCTTTGAGTTTAAACACAGTGGTAAAGCATCCGAGCTGTTTTGCTCATGTAACACTTCCGTTTTCAGTACACTGCCTAAATTCCGAAGTTCTCCCCAATTTCCCATCATACCATTGCAACAATACAATATTCAGATATGTTAACGGCCACACAGTCCCTCTTTGTAAAATTAAGTATTTCTTAGATGCATCTTCCATTCATACATTTATAAAAAATAAACCATACTTGAACAAATACACGTCTCTAAGTACAAGGATTATAGCCAAACACAGTTCAAAAGACTTGTGTAATATGACAAAGCAAATCTCTTTTAAGCATTTTTGTTATTTTTTTTATTTTAATAGTATTCAGGGGCCTGCAATTTCAGCACAGTAACATAACCCTGAGAGCAGGATCAGAAAGTAATGTTACAGATGAACATGCAACCATTACTTAACAGGCATGAACCTCTCAGGGTTAAAAACCAGATCTAACAATTCAGTGTTAAAAGCCTCAGACTCCAGACAGTCTTTTCACAAGGTTTTTAAAGTTTCCTATTCACAAGCAATGCCAGCTCATAACTGTAAGCATGCTTTGGAAAATAAACTTGACTGGATGCAACCCTGAGCAACACAATCTAACTTGTAAATTGGCTCCACTTTGAGCAAGGAACTGGATCTCCGAAGGTCCCTTCCAGCCCCAAATTACCCTGCAATTCTGACAAACAAGAAGTTTGCAAGCCGCAGAAATCTGATTTCCCTATGGAACCTCAAGCTTCACAGTTGGATGCTCCAGTGCCGGCACTGTGGGAGGCTGAATTGGCCTGCAGCTGCAAGGACTGTACTGGAAGTGGAGTCTTTAGAAAGGTCACTAACAGGGTCTCTCTCCTAACCTGCTTCATGAACCCTGAAGGTGTTTAATACCTTCAGAAGCACTGTCTCGATCACTCCTGTCAAAACCTGCCAAAATTGGCCAACATTTCCCAAAGATACTAGTGAGGTCAAGACAGACAAACAAGACAGGCAGGATAATCACATTCACTTCAATTCCTTCAGGAACAGTTTGGAAGAAAGAACAAAACAAACAAAACAAATCTTTATTCTCTAAATGAGAAGTGTTTCAACATTAAGGGAGTTTTGCTCCCACCAAAATTAAAGACAAAAGTGTTTTCTGCTTTGCAGTGGAACAAAATGGGATCCTAATAAGTACATGGCTGCACTTACACTTTACTTTTTCCAAAACATACCATCTTACTTTAGCAGGGCATGTCCTGCATTAACTGAAGAAGTGGGTTTCCCCTGCCACAAGACTGCAAGTGAGGAAGCCTCAAGAAAAGAGGGCAGTTGGGCCAGGCAAGTTTTCCTTTACTCTGTCCACTGTTCCTCTTCACACAGATGGGGAAATTCCCACATCCCCTTCTGGAGCCAGCCCTGTCTCTCCAGCACTACTGATGGCCCAATCTGGACAGCAAGCCAGGGCCAAGCCTTTCACAAGAACCTCCTACAGGAAGAGAAGAATCAGAAGGAGCAGGACCTTTGTCACTCTTTACCTTATAGAATGTACTGGGTTGGAAGGGACCTTAAAGCTCATCCAGTTCCAACCCCTGCCATGGGCAGGGACACCTTCCACTAGAGCAGGTTGCTCCAAGCCCTGTCCAACCCAGCTTTGAACACTGCCAGGGATGGGCATTCACAGATTCTCTGGGCAACCTGTGCCAGCGCCTCACCACCCTCCATCTTCTCAACATAAAGACCCCGAAACAAGAAAGTGACCTCACCTTGCACTGTCCAACTTTGTCAGCACAAGTCTTTACTATATCATGAAGAAACATAGATGTCACCCACAGTAAGGATTGTACAAAAAGACTACTGTGTGCAAACAACCCAGAGCTTGGAAAGCCACTTCATGTCCATTTCTGATGTCAGTTCAGCCACAGACCTTCTGGGGAAATAACACAATCCAAATCTAACCTGGTTCCTTTGTGCTATCTTTTGTCCTTTCTTCCAGCGGAGAATGGGCTTGAGAGCAGGCAGATCCTTGTCCTCTTTTCCTCTTTCTATTACATGTTCCCCAAGGCTGTATGCAGCTTCAAATACAATTGGAGATATAACGTCTTTGACTCTTTTCTGTAAGAGAAAACAAACAGGTATTTCACCTATGCATGTAGGCAAGCGGATTTTTATACACAACCATTAAACATATAATTACAGCAAATTTTCTGTTCAACACTGCAGACAAGAAGCAGGCTTCTCTACTCCTTTATTTTTTGTATGTGTCAAATAGGAATGAGTGCATTATCCCAAAACAAGTCAGAAGACCTACTCTTGTAGGTCTCTACAGAAGCAGTGGCATGTTTGGCACACCTATAAATTCAGTTTTAATAAACCAAATACATTTCCTTAAAAAATAAAGTAAGTTCATAATTGTTTCCATTAGTTCTCCACAATGTGCAAGCAAAGAGCAAATCATCTTCATCTCTGGGGTTTCTAAAACCTAGATTTTTATTGAGGTCACCTCCAGTGCGCTCACTTATTAAAAGAAGACTGGTTTCTAATATCAATGAAATGAATGGATGGGTAAAGGTACAAATGTGGCTATAATACATGTTCACAGACATGCAGGGGCAAGAAAAGCCATCTTCCATCACACTTCTACAGCAAAACTCACAGCTCCTGCACCCTCAGCACATTTACACTTTCAGTGTATAAAGGAAGAAAGTTTTTCAGTTTCTCTATTTGCTATATTCTAGGCTTCAAACTAGATGTATTAAATGGTGCCACATTATGCATCTGATGGGATGAAAGGATTGCCTTTTCTTGTTGTTGGAGCCCAAGCCACAAAACCCGTACCATTTGCCACATATGTGACACCTAAATCCAGTTTGCTGTGTGAGGATAAAATGCTCATTGTGGTCTGTTCAGTCCTGACTTCCCAAGTCCAATTTATGAGAAAACTGAAGTGGCACATGCTCTACCAGTAAACAGGCAAGCGTTCCTCTCAAATTTTAGCTACTTTAAAGCTTAGTGTGAATTCAACGCAGATGAAATTGAGGGAATAAATAAATACCATACATAAGCACAACAAATCTTCAAATGGGCAAACTCTCAACTTAGCCTTGCATCAGTTAGCAAGCTTCTCTGAACACAGTCTGCCAACCACAACATGTAATTGATATGCAATGCAATTTAAATTGCATCTTCCAGATGTGGGAAAGCTGGGCGCTCACTTGCTTTTTGACCACCCTATTTCATCTCTTTGAAGGCAAGTATTTGCTCTCTCTAATACGTTGATTGGCTACAGATCTCTGAAGTCAGACAAAGATTAGTGGCTAACCAAACTCTCAAATCACCGGTTAGCTGGGTGAACAACAGCAGAGACCAGGTTAAATGGCATTTACCCTCCCACACCTTGAAGCCTCCAGCCAGTCCCTGAATTCACTTCCACCACCAATGTTTGCCCATGTCCTGTGCCCAGCAGCAGCCCAGAATTATCTGAAGTTTAGACCATGCATTTCTTGGAGTGGTTTGTGCATTCTTGGTAATGGACACCAATCAACACCAGACATATCAACAGTGGTGGCAGCAGCTCTGTGACCTCTTTCCCACCCATACAAAGGACCACACATATGCTGGGGCATTGCTAATCCCCTTGTCAGACAACACACCGATGGCTTCAGCCCCTTCCACAGTCCCTACCCTTAGGGCAGGAGTTGCACCTTACAGAGATTACTAAATAACAGAGATTCAGCTAAACAGCAAGCCTCGGCCAGCAGGTCAAAGGAGATGATTCTTCCCCTCTACTCTGCTCTGGTGAGACACACCTGCAGTCCTGCATCCAGCACTGGAGCAACAACACTAGAGGGACGTGGAGCTTTTGGAGCGAGTCCAAAGGAGGCCACAGCAATGATCAGAGGTGTGGAGCACCTCTGCTATGGAGACAGGCTGAGAGAGCTGGACTTGTTCAGTCTGGAGAAAAGAAGGCGCTGGGGAGACCTTATAACAGTCTTCCAATACCTAAAGAGACCAGCAAGAAATCTGGAGAAGGACTTTTTACAAGGGCCTGTAGTGACAGGTCAAGGGGAAATGGCTTTAACCTGACAAGAGGGGAGATTGAGATGAGCTCTTAGGCAGAAGTTCTTCCCGGTGAGGGTGCTGAGGCGCTGGCACAGGGTGCGCAAAGAAGCTGTGGCTGCCCCATTCCTGGCAGTGTTCAAGGCCAGGTTGGACACAGGGGCTTGGAGCAACCTGCTCTAGTGGAAGGTGTCCCTGCCCGTGGCAGGGGGTTGGAACTGGGTGAGCTTTAAGGTCCCTTCCAACCCAAACCTGTCTAGGATTCTGATTCTACTACAACTCACAGAAGCTGCTAGCTTTGCTCTCACAGAAAAAAAATCACAAGTATTAACTTAAACAAGGATTGTATCAATATACAAGATGAATATATATACAGAAAAACAAAGCCATAAAAGAGCATCCTATGCAGCAACAGTCAAACACAAATCATCAGGGAAGTCATCACCTAATCCAAACGTAGGCAACCAACTGCATAAACATGGAATAATTAAAAACGTATGGAGTGGGTTAAATTAAAATCCACCTTTTTTTTTAAACTTCTATTACTACAGTATGGTGTGAATAAGTGTTTAATGACTTTTAAGTGTTTTAATATGATCTTGCAGGGTTCAGTCCAACGCCCTTTGAAGTCAAAAGGCAAGTTTCCCATTGACTTCAATGAATGTTGGAGTGTGCCCATATTGTTTGCTGGTGTCTCTTTCTGCTTGATTTTAGTGGTGAAATTCTGACTTCCAGCAGCTAGATTAATTACATGTGTGCATATTCTCTTACCACAGCCCTGGGGAAATGTATTTCACATACCCACTTGTCTTTAATTAAGGATTAAAGTACGAATGCTACCCAGTTATTAATTTTGCCACATGTTCAGTCCCTTCTGCTCACAATCCTAGAAACACAAAGGCGACAGTCTGTGGGATTTGTCCTCAGTAAGAAACAAGACAGTTCTGTCTCACAGGTACACCACAGACTGACTCGGATGTGAGCACGTAAAAAGAATAATGAATATTTGACCAAATGCAATCCGGAGAAGTACTATTTTAGGTTGGAAATACACTCAGTTTCTTAGAGTCCACCCAAACATACCGCTTCCAGTGGCTGAATCATATACTGGCAACACAGCCCATGGATTGCTTTTAAATATTCCTGATTTCTAAAAGGAAGTCAAAAGATACAATGACAATCAGGTCTGAGCTAGACTGAAAATTCCTTCAAGTCAAGGAAACTATTGCTGTTTGTATCAGTCACATGGTCCTACCAAAGTGGCTTTGTCAAGGAAAATAATTTCCACAAGCAGCTTTTACACAATGCTGTTATGCTAAGGAAGTATTGAAGGTTAAAGACGCCACTTTATCATGAAAAAGCATTCCTGGCAAATCACAGGGCATGAACAGCACAGCTTCATTAATAAAAAGGACTTTCAGAGGACATTAAAACAAGTGTAATATGCAAAGAGTTCACATCAGCAACAGAAACAACTGCGTAACAAGGGTTCAGTGAGTAACAGGAGTGAATATCCAGCCTATACAGACTGGATGTTACTAAATTACTGCAAGTTTTCACTGTGCCTGAATTAGAACTGGGGATCTGAAGCCAGGTTTCCCACAAGCCTTTAGCTGTCTTACGTAGTCTGCTTGTTCTTACAAGCACTTTCTCTAGGGTGGTTATTTTTTTTCCTTCCTGTCTTTCAGACCAGATTTCATTCTAGACATAAGAAACTTTTGCAATCAGGCTTTTGCAGAAATCAATACGCTTCAGTCCATGTAAATTACCCTTCTGCCAGTATCCCTTCCTGCAATGGTAACAGCCCTAGCCAGCTGTATCCTTTCGTCAGGATCTTTTATCTTTTCCTGTGAGGCACATTGCTTGACATCACTCTGAACTGAAGAAAAAGGTGTTTTGGTATGAACAAGCTGGGTTTTTATCACGGGTATTGCAGGATGTTTCCTCATTAGTATCTAGCAAAGACAACTCAGATTCCAAAAAGAGCACACCCTTAAGAGCATCGAAGAAAGCAATAAGGCACTTGGAGATGCTTCAAAAGACACCATGGTCCTGAAAGCTCACCCTAACAAAAAACAGACTTGCCATCTCCTCTTCCATGACAACCACCTCATATACACATACATTTTCTAAATGCTGTGGTAGAAGCTGTGCATAGCCACATATTTCTTCCTGTTTGTTTTCTGTCTTAGCAGGGAAGAAACAAGCAAGCAAGCAGTCTCTGCCAGATTTATGAGTGCATTTCTGTTTGGCTTTACTACCAAAAAAGTCCCAAGAATCTGAAAAGTAATCACAGAGCAATCATCAAACTTTAGAGCTGTGATTCTGAACATCATTTCCACTTCCCTCTCAAAGATGGAGAGTGGTGACTGTAAGAAATCATGTTCTGTGCTTTTCATAGGCACAGCCAAAGGCATGTCATGACAACAAAAACATAGGCACGGATCCCAACATCCTAAAGGCACACTACCTTGGCATGCAGCCACTGCCTTCTCCAACCTTAAGTTTGTGCTACCAAGAGCTCCCACACATCAGGAACTTGGGCAAATGTGGATGGAACAAGACAGGGCTTTAGTCAAGGGATAGGATTTATTCTGCTCATGATATGAGTAGTTGCCAAAGAGGACTGGGTATTATTTCAGCTTGTTTTCGGCTCAGTGCCACAGTACAGTCAGGGGACTGTACACGAGCCCAATAAATCATCACATTTAATCCCCTGTCTTCTACAAGGTGAAAGTCTCCAGCAGGGGCTCTGAGGAGTGCCAAATTTCATTTTTAATTATGGCCAATGGGCTGAGAAATAAATTGAGATGTAAATAATTCCCCACAATCTACAGCATGAGTCCTGCAGGAATAAAGGACAAAATGTGGTCCTTTAAAGCAATGAATATGAAGTCATTTCCAGCAGCATTGAGAGGAAATACACGTAACCATCAGGGTGACTTCTGCGGTTGCCCCTTTTTTGCCCTTGTTCATGTTTTTCTGGAGCTTCTCTCCTCTTTCCCTGTAGGAACAGGTCTTGGATTTGTTGGGTCTTTTTTTTTACTTGCTCTGAT